CATTATATTTAAGGTGGCAGCCATCGACAAATTGATCCATATATTCAATGCACTCTCAAACAAAATCTTAATAAGCATTTTTGACAAAATTGGCAGGTTGATTTAAACGTTAATATGGAAAAGTAAAGCATATATAAATAGCCAAACATTAATTGAAGAAAAAGGAAATTTGGAGGATTTAAAATACATGATTTCAACATTTCCCATAAAGATAAAAGTCATTACTGTGCGGGAGTGATGTAAGGATACATATATTAAGCAATATAAAAGAACAGACTTATATGATCAACTGATTTTCAACAGACATGTTAAGGTACTTTAATGAAGAACAGCTAGTCTTTTCAACAAATGGTGCTAGAGCAACTAGATATGGATATGGAAAAAATAAACTTTGATCTTTATATTATGGATACACACAAATTAATTCAAAGTGGATCATAGACCTAAACATAGAACCTAAAATTATTAAACTCATGTAAGAAGCACAGAAAAAGTTTTTGTGATAAGAGATAACCAAAATATTTTATTTGAACATGGCATGAAAAATTGAAAAATATTAAAAAATAGTTGTTAAAATGGAAGTGATCAAGATTACAAAATTTGCTTTTAAAAAGATGTTGGCAAAAGAGGGAAAGAGAAAATTTTTATAAAACATATCTGAGGGCATGTATCCAGAATATATAAAGAACTCTTACAATTCAAAAACAAGAAAAAAAATGAACAAAATACTTGAACAAATCCTTCACAAAAGCAAATATAAAAATAGCCAATAGGCACATAAATGATGTACAACATTATAGTTTCAGACAAATGCAATTAAAATCACAATGTTACTACTGGATAATCAAAGGAAAGCCTAGATTTAGAAGACTAACAATACTAAGTGTTGGTGAAGATGTGGGAAGATGATAAATCTCATGTATTTCTGGGGGGGGGGGATGCAAAATAATACCGCCATTTTGGAAAATAGTATGCTAATATATTTTAAATGTATATTAACATGTTATCTAGCAATTTCATTTCTAGGTATTTACAGAAAAGAAATGAAAACATAAGTTCACAAAAAGACCAATATATGTATAGCTATAACAACAATATTCATAATAAATAATCCACCAGAAATCCAAATGTCCAGGTATAAATAAGTCTAATGCATTTACAAAATGAGATGATGAAGAACTTCAAGACATTTTCTGAGAAAGTTATATGGAAAAGGGTCCACAAGTATCTAAGAAATTTGAAATAAACTTTAAAAAGTGTGAAACTTTACTTGATATAAGGATATATTAAAAAGACACATTATTTAACGTACCACTGGCATAAAAAAAGACCAAAATATTAGTCAAACAGAATAGAGTTCTAAGAATGGCAGACTTCATCTCTGGCATGCAAGAGGTGAGGTAAGGAGTTTTTGAACATCATGGCTGCCTGAAAGAATAGTGAGAGTATCTTCTCAACTCCTTGCTGCTCCACTTGCTTCTCACATGGAAAATCTTCTAATGATCTAGAGTTAATTGTAGTCTGTAATGAAAAATAAATATGAACAACCTATAACTCATTAAATACATGTAAGTCATGAAATCAAACATGAAAAGATGCAAATTAAAGGCCAGGCTATACAAGGCATGTTGCAATTTAATTTTATTCAAGTATGTGTTTAGAAATGACAAATGATTAAGGCAATAATTGCTGTTCAGTATGTTTGGAGAAAGAGGAAACGTAAAAGCATACTTTGTTTCTTTGTTATCACAGATGTGATTAAGGAGAACTACAAAAAGCTTTAGGATTCTGAAAATACATATATTTAAAGAAAAATCTATTTTCGTAGAAGTTTCTAATAACTAAATTATTAATGCCTAAGTTAAAAAAAATTATACCTTAGAGGTACATCATTATTTGGAAGTCTGTTTATGTCCTATAATTATCATGCTATAGTAGAAAACAATTTTGAGTTGTGTTTACATATCTGAAATTCCAGACTCCATTCATTGGGACAGTGCTGCAAGATTCAATTGGTAAACCTGAAGAATTTCTAAAAGAAACAGAACATCTGTACAGCCTTTGCTATGCAATCATCTTTAAGAACACCTGAAAGGGAAGATTCACTTCAGTTGCAGAAAAGTGAATTCTCTGCCAAATAAACAAGTCATTCTTAATGTTTTTGAAGAATAAAAGGACTACTTCTTGGCAAAGAGATACTTTAGAATAAAAGGAAGATGGAAAACACTTCTAACGCTGCTGATGGAAGTAGATCATTGACTGCGACAAGAAGCTCACTGAATTTTCAATGTCTTGTGGCATAATCTTCCTCTTGAAGATCAGATTTTAAGGGTAGAAAAGTAAGCTTATACTTAGGATATCCCATTTTAAATGAATAATCCTACATTAATTGAACCTTTAATTTTTGGCAATAAGAACTTCCTTATGGTGCATCTTTGAAATGCTTATTTACCCCTATATAATTATCATTGACTCCCAGCATAGACTATTTGATATGCTTTAGGTAAAACTGGTCACTTAGGAAAGTGTGACTTCTCAGGACATGAAGAAAATATATTGTTCCCAAATGATTCCATCGATATTGTCTAAAATGTTACCATTAGATATTTATTTCTCTAAAAAATTGTTCATTCACAGAATCCTTTTCAATGCACACTTTGCTATTGTATGGACACAGATGAGTTTCTCAGGTGGCAGTCATTACAGACTTTAGGCATAGATAAAGGAGAGCTAGCACAGAAAGGAAAGTAGGAAAATCACACAGAAAAAAAAAGAGGTAATTCTCTTCAAAACATGAATTGTGCTAAGTCCAGAGAGGCATAAAAACGCAGTCACAAATCTGTTGGTTACCAGTACCTGTAATCCTAGTAATGGGTATCAAAATTTTCACATATTGCAAAGGGGAAAATATAAATTAAGTGTTCTGAGTTAAACAAAGAGGTGTTTCTACTAGAATTATAGAAATACAGAAGAAATTCTAGAAATATAATTCAATATTCTCATTTTACCAATTAACAAACTGAAATATTGTATTATGACTAACTTTCCTACGATTACAAAGACTAGCAAAAGGTTGTGGAAGACAGTGTGGCGATTCCTCAAGGACCTAGAAATAGAAATTGCATTTGACCCAGCAATCCCATTACTGGGTATATATCCAAAGGATTACAAATCGTTCTACTATAAGGACACGTGCACACGAATGTTCATTGCAGCACTGTTTACAATAGCAAAGACCTGGAACCAACCCAAATGCCCATCGATGATAGACTGGACAGGGAAAATGTGGCACATATACACCATGGAATATTATGCAGCCATCAAAAACGATGAGTTTGTGTCCTTTGTAGGGACATGGATGAACCTGGAAACCATCATTCTCAGCAAACTGACAGAAGACCAGAAGATCAAACACCGCATGTTCTCACTCCTAGGCAGGTGTTGAGCAATGAGAACACATGGACACAGGGAGGGGAGCACTACACACTGGGGTCAGTTGGGGGGAATTAGGGGAGGGATGGTGAGGGGTGGGGAGTAAGGGAGAGATAGCAAGGGGAGAGATGCCAGATGTAGGTGATGGGGAGGAAGGCAGCAAATCACACTGCCACGTGTGTACCTATGCAACAATCTTGCATGTTCTTCACATGTACCCCAAAACTTAAAATGCAATAAAATAAAGAAATGGGAAAAAAATAAAAATAAAAAAAAATTAAAATGTAAAATTTCTGAAACTAAATGTGTAAACGAAATTAATCTGTAATCACAACCCTCTAGAAGTAACACTAAATGTAATCATGACAATATCTTAGAATAAAAACAAAGCCTTAAACTGGAATAGAACTATTGATAAAGAAATAGTGTTTTAATGATTTGGTATCAGAGAGTCATAGCATGAAATGTCTATGTGATGCCAAACAGTCCTGGTTCAAGTCTCAACTCTGCACAATTAATTTTTCTAGCACATTAGACAAAATTTTTATTTTTATTTATTTTTGTTTATTGATATATAATCTACATAAAACTTATTCTTTTTAGGAGTATGAGTCTGTGACTTTTTATGAACTTATTTAGTCATGTGATTACTACCACAATCAAGATAGAGAACATTTGCATCATCACAAAAATTTATGTCATATTTTTTTGTAGTCAATATCCACTTCCAACTCCAGCTGCTAACCACCACTGATCTGTGTTTGGGCCTCTTGGTTTTAACTTTTCCAAAATATAATCTAAATGAAAATGCACAATACAGGTTGAGTACTATTTATCCAAAATGCTTGGAACCAGAAGAGTACGTATGGGTGTTTATCCATCTACCAGTTGATGGACATTTTGATTGCTATGTACGTGTTATGTATGAACAGATGTTTTTATTTCTCTGGGCAAATATGCAGGATTTGGTTTGCTGGGTCATATGGTAAGTAAAAGTTTAACTTCAAAGGAAGCCATCAAACTTTTTTCCAAAGCGACTGAACCACATGTTATACATCTGCAATGAACAATACCTGAAAGTTGCTCTGCTTGCTCTGAAATCTCACCAGCACTTGATATTGTCAGATTCCTGTAAAACAGTGCTTCCTAATATCTCAGTTTACTTGTTTGAGAAGATTTTTATGAGATAAGAACTGCAAAGGCCCTATTGACATTTCAGCTGTAGAGTAGGTCATGTATACATTTTCTAAATGTGATACAACTGGAAATAATTGAGGATATGAACCCTATAGGCTGCAGGAGCAACATCTGTTCTAGAAAAAGGCATAGGTAGGATTGGAGCACACCTGGTACCATACAAAAACATGTGAAGAGGCATGATCACATGAGTCGTGGGTACTATTATAATGGGGGTTTTCACTTTTACTTTGAACTCGGTGAAAACAGTTGGAGTGTTTTGAGCAGAAGGTTGACTTTTTTTATTCCAGTGTGTACTATTTTTCTATTGCTGCTGTACAAGTTATCGCAAACATAGTAAATTAAAATAACACAAATTTATTTTCTTATAGGTCTGGAGGCCAGGAGTCTGAAATGTATCCCACTAATTAAAAGCAAGGTAATAGCAGGGCTTGCATGCTTTCTGGTGGCGCTAGGGGAGAATCTGTTTCCTTGCCTTTTAAAGCTTCTAGAGACACCTACATTTATTGGTTTATGGCCTCCTCCTCCATTTTCAAAGCCAACAGTTCAGCACCTTTAAATTTCTCTCTTGCCTTCCTGTCTTCCTTTTATAGGAACCCTTTTGATTGCATTGGGCCTACCTATGTTATCCAGATAATTTCCGAAACTCAAGGTTCTCAGCTTAATTACATCTGCAACATCTCTTTAACTATGTAAAGTAACAAAGGTTCTGAGGATTAGGATGTAGACATCTTTGAGGGCCAATTATTCTGCCTACCACAGTCTGTCAAGAGGTTTTAGTGCTTTGAATATCTACTAAAGAGCAGCAGGAAACTGGAACATGAGACGGAAAAAATGTGGCAGTGTTTACTAATTGTGTAACACTATGCTGGGAAAAGAGTCTATTGGAACTAGACATGACATATTCATATTTGTCCTATAAGAATCATCTTCAATGCAGAGGGTGAAGAGAAACAATTTATCTAGATGGCTAAGCTTAATAGAAATGGAATTTTTAGAAGTCCAGACTCAACTTCTATGTTGATTAGGATGCTTTCTGATCAATGCACTGACCTCACAGGTCATTTTATTAAAAACATGGGTGCCCACAACAAATAACTCATGCTAATAACCTTTCTATTTATCTGCCATGTTAAGTTATTTAGACATGATGTTTTTTTAAATTAGTCCCTTTTGAGTTTGGTTAATAATGGTGACTTCTAGAATTCATTTTGGAAACCAAAAATTTAAACCAGATGTGAGAGCTATATTCTAAGAACTAAGTCCTAGTCTATGGTGATTCAGTGGGTTTAGAGATGAACTGTAAGAATATACCAGGGAGCAAATCATCTGGCCTCCACATACCTTATATTCACTTAACTTTACTCTTTCTCACTTATTAAAAAAAAGGCAACAACAATAATAACTAACATGTATTAATCACTGAAGTGCCAACACAATATTAAATACAGTTCATGTATTATTTTTTTGTGTAATCCTTTGAGTACTCATAATGGCCTCATTTTACACATAAAGACTCTTAGCAAGACTCTAAAAAATGTTACCAATGTTTAAAGAGCTTACAATTACATTTATTACAATGATAGGAAAGTAAGTCATGTCTTTGAGAAGGGAGAAATTTTCAGATATTAAAATTCCCAGCACACCAATATATTCTCTATGTTTTAATATCAGAGGTTAGATAATATAAATATAATTTATATCAATCCATTTAATTCATGTATTATACTAACAGTTAATATTTAAGGCATACATTTATATTCATATATAAATTAAAAAGTATAAAAGCACATACAGGGTATAATAATCAAATTGGTAAGTACTTACCACTTGAGACTACATGAATAGTATCTCAATTTTCTGTTACTTTGTATTGAAGCCAATTGGATTTAAGTTAAATTTTTTTTTTCACTTATCCCAAAATGAAAGGAACAGAACAATGCTTGGCAGCTACAGACTTTTTCGTTTTTCAATGTTTACAGGAAAAGAGAGAACAATATGTCTTTTTTATTACCACTGAAAAATTCTTCATGTTGGCATTCTGAAAGTGGCCATTAATAGTACATTTGTAGAACTAGATACAGAGAAGGAATATGTGCTAAAGACTTGATTTCTGTAAAACATGATGCAATGAGTAAAACCTTTTACTTTTCCCTTTTCTTTCCTTCAGTGATTACCAGTTAAGAGAATGAGATTCCTACATTTGGAACCAGTGGGTAAGAAGAATCTATATTAGTCCTTTTCAATATCATAATTTTTTAAAGTCATTGCTGCACAATTTACAAAGCATTTATGGATTATAGAAAACAAGAAGACAGAATATAATATCATTTTGGAAATAACAATATTGAAATTACAGTGTCAGAGCTTGATATTTTTCTGGCATTTCAAAGATACAAACATGATTAAGGAGAGGCAAACTTTTCATTGCTGTAGGTGATGAAACCCATGGCAATATAGCATGAGGGGATTTAACTGGTTATGCATTGATAACACACCAAACACTAGTCATCCCAAAGGAAAACTTTAATTTCTTACATCAAATTCCTTTCCATTGTGATTCAGCTTGTGACCTCGCATATTGGTTACATAGTTATGAGTAAAAGGTGAACTTGGTTATATGGTATATTCTTCAATCTACCATGACTCATGAACCATATTTTATAATGTCTGCTTTTTAAACGTGTTTCAAGTTATAGAAATAATATGTACCTCATCAAAAAGTAAAGAAAAGCAGTATTCCATGGAATGGCAGCATTGTAGAACATTGACCTTTTAACATTTATCATGTGGCTCTCTTGCCTCTCTAATGGGTATCTTGACATTTTCATTTGAAATGATTGTTGTGTTCTCTGACATTTTTGTCTCTGTCATTGAAATCATAAGGGTTAGCAGCAATTGTTTGCAATTACCTGGCATGCGAATCATTTGCAGGTATAAGAAGCATAAAAATATATTTTAGCACAAAATGCTTTGGGACATATCTCAGATCACTGAGATTTTGCATTTGTGCATGCAAGTGATTCACTAGCTTACCTGATTTGATAAGATTGCAGCTATAAATGTTAATTGTACATAGCATAATACATTCTTTTAAGCCTAAATATTTTTCAAATAAAAATTGAATTAAATGCTTACATTGTCAAAGTTTTGTAGATTTGGTTTTAGAAGCTAATTAATTCATTTATGCTTTTCATCTGGAGTTTAAATATAACATGAAACATATAAACATACATTTCAATAAGTATGCATGTATATCTTAGCTTATAGTTTATTTTTTATCTAAGATCTGACATTGATATAGAAATATATAAAACAAAGAAGAAAATAAATAATAAGAATATTGAAGCTAAAATATGTGAGGATTTAATAAAGGTAAGATTATTACATGAAAAGGTGTATATTATGTGGCATTATATGGTTAATAAAGGTCATCTCCAATTCTGATTTTGAGATGCATGGAGGTCAAAGCACAAAAGGAAAATAAAGGATTATAAGATTCACACCATCAGTAAAATAAAAACAAGTTGTTTAAGGAAAACACAGCTTATCTTCAAAATGAATCCTATATCTATTTTCCCCCATGAGTCTTTATAAAGAGAATGATTTCTTTAGCATCCCAGTGTTTTTCCATAATACATGCTCTGTACAACAGTGGTTAAGAAAGAATGCCTAGAATTATGTTGTTAGGGTTGAATCCTGGTTAACTAGGGAGCTGCTTAATCAACAGGTTTATATATATATGTAAAATGGGAAAAAATAATATGAATTTTTTAAAGCTCTTGGGAGGAAAAAATTGGGTGAGTTTTGTGAAGTACTTAGTTCAGTGCCTGACACATTTTAGCACTGAATTAATATTAACTTCATGCAGCTTCAACATCCTCTGGGTTAAGTGATAAGAACCCTGATATATAATTGAGTAAACATATATTTTATGACTGTCAAATTAATGGGGTCCAAGAATGCTATTCTGGTTTAATCTAAAGGAATAATTTAGAACATCAAATAGTCTTTCCGGAGCTTAACCCACAGAGCACTAATGTCATAAGATGGTTCCATCAAATTGTTGTGTGAAACTCAACATTTTAAATCCTCTCTTCAGGCTGCAGAGTAAACATGAAACTATTTGGGGCTGTGAATTAAACAACCTGTTTAATTCTGATACATCTTACTAGTTTTGTTTGTCTGTTTGCTGTTTCATTGCTGAACCATTTTTGTTTTTATGATTTAGTGGAACCGTGTATTTGTACATAGTTATTAGTGTTCAACTGTATGCAATTTAGGAAGCACTAGAGCAATAGATGATGGCATGGACCTCAGGCAATCTTCCATAATGCAATTTCTTATAGCTCAGTTTTGGAAAAGTATTATAAGGCAAATATTTCTAGGTTGTATTGTTTGGAAAAGACTCAGAGTGCAGATATTTTATGTTGCTGTCTAGCATCTCAAGCATGAGATTTTGTTGGTGACCAATATGAAAATTAATGGGCTTTAATAAAGTATGTGCCTGAAGAGTTTCCATCAGAGTGAAAATTTATATTGGCCAAGATCAAGTGTGTAATTTGACCTTTGACTTGGGGTTTAATATGTTGGCAGGCTTCCGTAGTCTTGTGTTACTTCTTCCTTGATTGTTTCCTTAGGGTGGGCTGTCCATATGTGCAGTGGACTGTCAACACTTGAGAGGGTCGCATATGCAGTGTGTTTAATAGAGTTCTGCACATGCTCAGTTGAGGCATTCTTCCCTTACTATAAGAACATATACCAGTTAAACTCTGCCATTTTGCCTTTTAGTGTGCATGTGTGAGCCCACATGCCAACTCCAGAAATCTTATTGTGAAACTGCTTATTGCTACCTTCAGGTTGTTTTTCTATCTATGAGTAGGCTGCCTTCCCTTGGCACCAACTGTTGAAATGGGAAAAGTTTCCTTGTCCCTCTTGCAGGGCATGCAATAGGGTTGTGGCTCACTTCTTTAGTGTCCTGCTGCTCGAACGTCTAGTGGAGCATGCAGACAGGCAGGCAGTGGGGCTCCTACCCCACGGCAGTGTCTGGGGTGAGTGTTTACAGCTCCTCAAGCCCCACTGGGCCTGTGCTACAGTGTGCTCTTCTGCTTTTGCCATGTATAAGCAGCTTGTATTAATTAGCTTAATTAGACCCTCTACCTTGTTGCAAGGACAGTGGGCTTTCTGTATCTTGGGTTCTTCCTTTGGTGTACCAGAAGAATGGGATCACACCTGGGCTTGGAGAATGAGAGCAAGGTTTTATTGAATAGCTCCAAGCCGATGGGGGAAGCCAGAAGGGGATGGAGTGGTAAGGTTTCCTCTGGAATAAGGGCACTCAGGGGCCCAGGCTCTCCTCCAACTGCCCTAGCCAAATTCCACATTGTTTTGCTTGTTAGTAGCCTGCCAGCATGCTGTTGCTGGTCTGTGTGCACCTCTGGACATCCAGCCACCTATGTGTCTGCCTATTAGGTTCTTGGGTTTTTATAGGCACAAGATGGGGACAAAGCAGGCCAGGAGTGGCTTGGAAAATGCAACATATGGGCAGGAAAACAAATACGCCTGTCTTCACCTAGGTGCAGAGGTGTAGGCCCAGGGGCGGAGCCCTAGCCAGGGCCCATCCCCTCCTCTACTCAGCCCTTTCCTTCCCCTTTCATATCATGGAAGGGACCACGCCCTTCCCTTCTCAGCACTTCGCTATTGCTATGACCAATTATTATTTTAGAGAGACAGTTAAAAACTACCTGAACATCACCTGATGGTTGCTTGACATTGCTAGTGGGGATGGGGCTCTTCTGCCCTGCTCACATCTGACTAGTTACCTACTGTAACAAAAGGACCAATTATCTGGGCCAAAATCTTACATGAGTAAAAATTCTGGGCCTATTTCAACATGGTCATGTAATTGAAGACTTGTAGAATACATCATATTAAGTGCAAGGTAAAGCATTTCTAAACCAGTTACCTACGACAGCCTTATACCACATAGCCACATATCCAAAGATGAATTACCTCTCAGTTTTACTACTTAAGCAACTGAATAACTTAACTTCTTGCAGAAACACATGTATTATACATTCCTTATATGAAATACTGTTTGATATTTCCAAAAATCTTATTTCTAAGTAATCATTCTTAAGCTGTCTTTTCAGCAATAAACAGCATAGCTAATAATTTTTAGACTACTCTTAGCATATGAAAACAAAATCACATTATAAAGGAAAAGTATTTGTATTTGATTTCAAAATTACATATGGCCCATTCCAAAGTAGTAGAAACAAAGCTGGGGACATCACACTACCTGATTTGAAAATGGAAAACAAAGTTAAAATAATCAAAACATCACAGTGCTAAAATAGAAACAGATATATAGACCAATGGAACAGAATAGAGAGCACAGAAATAAATCCATGAATGTGTAGTCAACAGATTTTTAGCAAAGATCCCAAGACATTCTGTTCATTAAATCATGCTGGAAAGACTGGATATTCACATGGAGAAGAATGAAAACAGACTCTCATTTCATACCATATATGAAACCCAACTCAAAATGCATCAAACCACTATAATGTAAAACCACTATAAGAGAATATAGGGATAAAGCTATATGACATTGAGTTTAGGCAATGATACTTTTGGATATGACACAAAAGCAAAGTTAACAAAAACAAAAATAGGCAAAAGGAAACACATCAAACTAAAAAGCTTCTGTACAGTAAAGGAGATAGTCAACAGATTGAAGAGACAACTTATGGAAGAGAAATTGCATTTGAAAATCATACATCTGATATGGAGTTAATATTCAAAACATGTAAGGAACTCAAACAACTCAATGGTAATAAAACAAACAGGCAATCAAAAAATAGTCAAAGGACATGAGTAGACATTTCTCAAAAGAAGATATACAAATGGCCAACAGCAATAAATGTTGAACTAAAAAATGTTCAGCACTACTAATCATCAGGGAAATTCAAATTAAAACCACAATGGGGTATTACTTCACACCTGTTAAAATGCCTGTTATCAAAAAAGATGGAAGATAAATGTTAGTGAGGAGACAGACAAAAGGGAACCCTTACATGTAGTTGGTGGGAATATTAATTACTACAGCCATTATGAAGACAGTGTGGAGGTTCCTCAAGAAATTAAAAATAGAATTACCATATGATCCAGCAATCCCACTATTGGGTATATTTGCAAAAGATATGAAATTAGTGTGTCAAAGAGAT